TAGGAAAGACGAGACAGGCACAGAGACACGGACTTGACACTAAGACCAGGAGAAGCATAGATGTGAAACATGAGTAGATCAGACATGAAACAAAGAACACGGAGGAAGCATAGAGACAGACATCCAGAGACTAGAAACTAACAATGCAATCAAAGACTATTAATAAAAACAAAACACCAGGACCATGACATTTGTATTATATGCACTTTGAGAAAAAATAAGAATGAACTACTCTTAATGTTCTTTTGTAAAGCATCCTTGGGTTTCTTTTAATGTGTTTGCAGCAGAATGGCCGCCCCTCCCCGAGCCCTGTTCTTCTGGAAGTTTCTTCCTGTTAAAAGGGAGATTTTCCATCCCAGTGTTGCAAAGTGATTGCTCACAGGGGGCCATTTGATTATTGGGGTTTCTGTGTATTATTCACCTTACCTTATGATATTTCTGGTTGAGATCCAAAATCAAATTTTAAAGGACTTTTGAAAAGAATTATGTCCCATGTCCTGTGTAGCTCTAAAGCGGATGTGTTGACACCAGAGATGGGCGTTACTGTAATCCGATTACTTTTTCCAAGTAACGAGTAAAGTAAGGGATTACTATTGCAAAAACGGTAATTAGATTACCTTTACTTTCCCGTAGGAACGCTGCGTTACTGCATTACTAAAACCGTGATTTTTTGCGAGAATGTCTCATGACAGTGACGTAAGCAAGTGCGCCGTTAGTGACAATAGCTGTGTGCAGATCAACAGTGGATCATATATTGATTGTGGGAGAGAGTATGAGCGTGCAGCGTTTAAAGCGTGGAAGTACTGACCTTACTTTGAGTTTGATTCCATAAAAAGTGACAAAAACATTAGCGTCCGTTGTGCGTGGGAAGAAAACTTCTTTTTACAGCGGAAAAAAAACCCCTAAACTTCAAAGCAAGCACCGAGTGCGACGTAATGGGAAACTCGCAGAGAAACTCGCGGATTCTTCCACTGACCGCAGCGGCACACCTGCACCAGGGTAAACCTCCGCCTACCCGACTCCTGCTTTACAGGTGAAAATAGAGCAAAAGGACCGCTACACTGTTCCAAAAAATAGTAATGTCAAATTACTTTACTGTGTATTTTACGGTTGTGTACTGTTTTTCTAGAATATCATTACATTTACATAAGTAGACTGTGATCTGACACGTCAAATGTAAAATAACAAAACATCACTGTAAATGTAATAAAAAACAATTTACTTGTTTGTTAAATATATTTTGTTGTACATATGCATATTTAGATTGTAAAAATACATCCAGAAATGTCTCCCATCATGCCTTGGGACATGTGCTGCTGTTTGGATGTTCTTGTTTTGTTGTTTATGGTTACGTTACTTTTAACTGTTATCTTGATTGTTGTGTTTACGCCGTGGTGCAGCGTCACTGACAGTTGTTATTTTGTAGAGAGAGTGCTGTACCATGAGTGACTTCTGTTGTGCTGTTGTTGAAGCTTGAGGCACATTGTAACACCGGCAAGTGTTTTAATAAAGAGCTCCCCCTATCAGCTTGGGGTTAAATAACAAGCTCAATCTCTCTCTGTGAGCTTCGTTGTTAAGATTTCTCTGCATGCCACAATGTAAAACATTGCACGGACACGCTGTGCTAATTATACATTTTGAAAAATAAATGTAGAGGTAGGAATTGCAATTAATATAAATAACATGACGCTAAGCATCGGCCAATGAATGTGAACTAACAACAAGGTCGCGGGTATGGCTGCGACCGTAGGAAAAAACCCCTAATATGAAGGTATTTTACTGCATTTCACAGTAATCTTCTGTTCTTCTAGAATATCATTAAAGTTATGTAAGTAGACTTTGACTTCACATTTTGAATGTAAATCAACGTTAAATCTGTAATGTAATAAAACAATTGTCATGATTGTTAAATGTCTGTACATATGCATATTTAGATACAGATTCACAAAGGTATCATGATTTCACAAATATCTGTCCGTTATTTGAAAGATTGAACTGTTGAATTCAAATGTAATGCTATGGAAAAGTATATAACATGAGCCCTATAAGCTTGTGTTACATCACATAAGTATTATTATCGTTGCTAGTTAGGCCGTTCGTGGCTCAAGAGTTGGCAGTTCGCCTTGTGATCAGAAAATTGCTGGTTCGAGCCCCGGCTCAGACACTCTCCGTTGTTGTGTCCGTGGTCAAGACTCTGCACCTACCGCCTACTAGTGATGGCCAAAGGGGCCGATGGTGCGATATGGCAGCCTCGCCTCTGTCCCAGGGCATGCAATCAATTATTATTGAAACCAACTGTTAACTGTATATTTCTGTACATTTACGTAGTATGATTCATATTGCCACATTCAGTGACCTTGTTTATAGGTAATTTCATTGTTTGATCACGTAAAAATGTTCCTAATTTAATGGCCTGCATTTGTATAGTGCTTTTCTAGTCCCTAAGGACCCCAAAGCGCTTCACACTACATCCAGTCATCCACCCATTCACACACTGGTGATGGCAGCTACTTTGTAGCCACAGCTGCCCTGGGGCGCAGTGACAGAGGCGAGGCTGCCGGACACTGGCGCCACCGGGCCCTCTGACCACCACCAGTAGGCCAACATGGGGTTAGTATCTTGCCCAAGGATATTTGGCATGCAGGCAGGGGGCAGCCTGGGATTGAACCACCGACCTTCTGATTAGTGGCTGACCTGCTCTGCCACCTGAGCTACAGCCAGCCTTAATGTCTAAAAGCACTTGGAAAAGGCAGAATCCCATGTGAACTTAGGGCAACAAACTCTATTTTCATCACTGAAAATAACTGTATTTTTATGGGACAGTTATTTTCTGTTATTTTACGGTCGTATTTTGGCGCCCCAGCTGCCAGAATATCACCGTTTTTTTAAGATGTTTTTTTTAACAGTGTAGTCTTTGACTATTTATTTTCTGCTGTGTTTTACTTGCATCTATTTGAAAGAGTGAGTGTAAACACACACAAAAAAATTATTTTATGTGCTGGAATGTGCAGAAAATAGGTTTAAATATTAAACTAATTTCTTCCAGTCAGAGAATGTTGCATATAATTAATTAATTTTAAAAGATTAAAACTAATAAAACAAGTTTTAAAAAGGGACTTTTCCATTTGATTACATTTTGTATGATGGATTATGTAGAAAAAGTAGAATTGGGCTGAAAGATCTATCACTTTAGAAAATAAGTAATCAGTAAAGTAATGGGATTACTTTTTTGGGGAAGTAATCAGTAATTAGTTACTGATTACTTTTTTCAAGTAACTTGACCAACACTGGTTGACACACTGCATTTTGTGAAGCTTGAGAAAAACTTCGGTGCACATGTGGTTCATCTTCGGAGTCTGATGTGGTCCACAACAAGAATAATCAAGGCCATGCCAAAGACAGTAGAGATAACCAGTCTTACTGTAGATTCAGTCTGACACCAGCTCCTGGACTCTTGGGGGGGAGAGAAGAGCTTGGGGCTTAGATATTCTTTAATCATAAGACTGTGATAAACAAAAAAATAATAGTTCTAGTTTAATAAAGGTGAAAATGATTTATCACCATCTTACCTCCAGACCCCATCTTAATAGCTGTGTCTTCTCCTGATAGTTTGGTCACCTTTTTTTCAACAGGGTTTTCAGCTACACAGCTGTAACTGCTGCTGTCATGGGATTCTATTTCCAGAGTGAGATACAGATTGGAGGACAGATCAGGACTGCTAACATTTGTCAATCTTCCCTCCTGTCTGTACCAGGACAGGACCAGGTCTTGGCTGTTGTGCACTGAGCACTCCACTGTGACTGCGGAACAGCTTTTGTTAATGAAAGACGATCTGACTGTAATGGAGGGAGTACCAAGAGAACCTGATGAAGGAAAGAGAGTGAAAATATGATTGATGTGATTTGATAAGTGCTGACAGAGTTATCATACTGATGAAGTCTATGACTTTACTAACTGTAGCTGTGGGCTCATAGATACTCTGCAAACAGAGCAAAGGGATATAAACAAAACTGTTTAAATATAGAGTAGCTCTCCCAACTCTTTCTTGACACAAAATGTAATTGTGATTACTATGATTAATTGAAAATAGCTCTTTAATCGAGTAAACTAAAGCTCAAATGTATTTACAAAGCACATTTTAAAAAAAACATTTAAAAAACTCAGGTTGATCAAAGCGTCTAATAAAAGTCAGGAAATAAAAAAGGAGGGAACAGGGAAATAAGTAAATAGATCTAACCATGACTGAAAAAGACACAGGAAACACAATGAGCAATCAGACCCAAATGCCAGTGTGTAAAAATAAGTTTCAAGTTTTTAAAGACTGAATGGAGGGAGCAGATTTGACTGTGGGCAATCACAGAGAAGTCTCCTCTGAGTTTAAATCTGGAGCACATGACAGTTAGAAGCATATGATCAGCTGACTGGAGGGACCTGGAAGCTGAAGTCGGAAATGTAGGAATGAGCCAAACCATGAAGGACTTTGTAGAGAAACACGAGGACCTTGAAAATGATTCTGAACCTCGCTGGCTACTTCATGGAGCACATGAAGTAGCTATGCTCATGAAGAGCTATGCACATGAAGTAGCTATGCGCATGAAGTAGCTATGCACATGAAGTAGCTATGCGCATGAAGTAGCTATGCACATGAAGTAGCTATGCTCATGAAGTAGCTATGCTCATGAAGAGCTATGCACATGAAGGAGCTATGCTCATGTAACCCAGTGTTAATTTGGTTATCTGATATTGTGTGATATTCAGTATATATGTATATATCTATATTGGGTGTTATAAAATGTTCTTCAATGATTTTGAGTTTTTTTTTACTTGCTATTGGTTTGCGGCTGCTTTACGACAGTCGACTGTGGTAGTACATCCTAGCGGGAGGGGCTATGAGCTCACGTGGCTTGTAGCTGTGCCAGAGAGCAAGCTTGGGTGAGCTAGCGGGGAATATCTCCTTCTGCAGTAGCCTTAAAAAAGACTATTGTTCGTTCTCCTGCCAGACGCCTCGCTGCTGTGCTGCCTTACTGCTGTGCTGTCTCGCTGGTGCCATTAAAGGACAAGCGGCTGCCATCCATTCATCCATCCGGACTTCGATTATTTGGACCGAAGTACTCACACACACGCCCGCACTCAGTGCCATACACTCTCTTTATTTTGCTGGCCAGCTAACATCATTGTTTTTTTTTTCTTTTTGCATTCACAAAGACTATCCAAAGACATTTTGGTTATTGTCAAATAGACACTCTCTGATTACGGACTGAGGAGGTTGTGGTGTTACAACCCCAGGACTGAGAAAAAGGACTCTTTACATAATATATTCACTTGTCTCCTGGTTAAGAGAAGTGACTATTGATGGAAATATTTTTCTTCTTCTTGTCTTTATTTACATTGTATCCCAAAGAAGTTTTAAGTTGTTCAGGTTGAAACATTTGCACTTAAAGTCTGTTAAGTTTCCTTTGATGTATCAGTGTCAAGCTGATGTTTAAGAGGGTATGTTAAGGACAGATGTGCTCCAGTCCATCCAATCCTTTAAAGTGCTGGACACCGATGGTAAATTGCCATCAGACCCTAAATAAATTGTCCTCTGCTGTTATCCATATTGCTTCACTCATTCTTTGGTGAGTAGACGTATTGGTTACAACTAAAAGTAGTAGGAAAAATTGGCGCCCGAACAGGGACTTGAGCGCATCACTAACTTTATCCTGAAGCACATGCACAGACATCTGTGAATTCATCGACTGCTTTGCAGAGAGAGACAATGGAGTTTTGTGACAGGTATGGTTTTGATCCAGAGTACACTGTTTTGTTAAAAGGGGCTAAAGCCAAGATTAAACTACAAGAGGTGCAAAGAGCATTTGCTTTGCTGGATCTCGTTGTCAAAATTCAACAAATAGATAGTCTCCCTGACACGATTTTGTGTCAGTTCATGGAGTGCATTACCCCAATGCTCTTAGATGGAGAACATTCAGCAGATGGGGAGTGTTGGGAGGTTATTCAGATAGATGAGTACTGTCCTCAGGGACCTGACAGTTTTCACCTGGCGCATGATGTGGTCCCCCTCGCTCGAGCAATTGATGATGTGACTGCTAGTTTCAGAGAACAAGTGAACGAACTGGCATTAGCATATAATGTGAGCCCCATGACTTTAAATCAGGCTGCAGTGAGCCACATGTGTGGGAAAAATGATACATATAAGGGGTTAGCTACCTCAACTCCTACCTTGGGAGTTAAAACTCAGTCCACACCCGGTCCCAGGTCAACTGCCGCCTGTGATGATGGCCATGTGCCCAAGGCTAAACAGGCACTTGATGCGGACTCCCTGCTTGTTGATCCTGTGCCAGCGGAGGTTCAGAGAGTTATCGTGGAGCACATTGTAAAACATGACTCACCCATGCATACTCCCTCTGCTTTTGAGCTCCGCTCATTTTCAGGAAATTCTCCAAAACCCCCTAATGAGGTAGAGTACAGGGTATGACGACTTAGAGTTAAACAGGTACTAAATGACTCTACCCTTTCCGAAGGGCAGCAGCGCCGTGTTTTCCTCGATAGCTTGGCTAGCCCTGCTTTGAATGTAGCCCTTTCTATTGGGTCTCAAGCACCACCAAAAGACTACCTGGATGAGCTCGACAAGGCTTATGGCAATGTCACTGGAGGTGAAGAGCTGTATATCCAGTACCTAGAGACTCATCAGAATAGTGGAGAAAAGGCATCTGATTACTTGCGCAGACTCCAGACGTTGCTGCAGGAGGTAGTTGACGGTAACGGCAGGCCTTCTGGCACCCTCCCACAGCACTGGATGCTTGTACCAGAGAGCAACTGGAGGAAAAGGAAAAAAAAAGAAGAGGAGTGGAGGAAGTATGTTCGCCCCCTTGTACATGCTTATAACTGTACAAAACATGACGCAACTGGAGAAGCGCCCTTCCTTCTGATGTTTGGTAGAGAGCCACGGCTGCCGATGACACTTGCATTGCTCAATAACTTTTTCCTGTCATTACAACAACAGATTGCTGGGTTAGTGCAATCTCTGTCGGGTGATAGTGACGGGGACGTCACACTTTAAGCAGGGGTGGATGTAACCCAGTGTTAATTTGGTTATCTGATATTGTGTGATATTCAGTATATATGTATATATCTATATTGGGTGTTATAAAATGTTCTTCAATGATTTTGAGTTTTTTTTTACTTGCTATTGGTTTGCGGCTGCTTTACGACAGTCGACTGTGGTAGTACATCCTAGCGGGAGGGGCTATGAGCTCACGTGGCTTGTAGCTGTGCCAGAAAGCAAGCTTGGGTGAGCTAGCGGGGAATATCTCCTTCTGCAGTAGCCTTAAAAAAGACTATTGTTCGTTCTCCTGCCAGACGCCTCGCTGCTGTGCTGCCTTACTGCTGTGCTGCCTTACTGCTGTGCTGTCTCGCTGGTGCCATTAAAGGACAAGCGGAGGGGAAAGAGAAAAAAATTCAGTGGAAGCATGTGTGTGAATGAGAAGGACACAGTTGGAAAAGTGAAAGTTCGAGGAGTAGAGATAGCAAAGGTAGATGAGTTTAAGTAACAGGAATGTAAAGGAACTGTGAATGCACAAGAGAGGTGAAGAAGAGAGTGCAGGCATGGTGGAATGGGTGGAGGCAAGTCTCCGACTGATTTGTGAAAGAATGGTAACAGCAAGAGTGAAAGGGGAATGAGACCTGCTATGATGCATGGTTCGGAGACAGGCACTGTTAGATTTGTATTGTTGATTGTCATTTATGCTTAGAAACATTTACCCACATATGCTTAGAAGTGTATAACCATTTGTAGATTGAAAGAATGTCTCATCCTAGGAGGTCTGTAACAGCTCTGTGTAGCATGAAGGGGGAGTGCGTTCACTCCCTCTACAGAGTGTTCCGGCGTAGATCACACCTCCTAGGAGAGGTCGTATCTTTTCTTATTGATTTATGGTATAGCAAGCACACGTATATCTGTTTAAGTATAAGAGCCTTTTGTTCAGATGGACCGCTAGACTCCTGGCACCAGCTTTGGGGAGTCTTCACAGGGTCACATCTGGACACCACACACACACACACACACACACACACACACACAGTATTCTTTGTTCACATGTATACCTATGTAAGATGTCATATGTTAATGACCCTATGCATATTCATGTAACCTCAATAAAAGGAGTGCTATGGGGAGCCTGGCTGAGAGTCTGACGGAGGTCAAGTGGTGGAACGACACTCGGCTCCAGCCAGCTTTCCCTCATGCATGAGTAAAACCAGCCTGCTTGTGTCTTGCTTTGCAGTGTAACTATATTGTCTTCAACGTTCCAGCGGATAGGTACAAGCTACAAACCTATCATTAATTGGTCCTTCGAGCCGGATCCCTGGAGTCGACATTCACCGGGGGGAGAAGAGGCACGCGGAAAGACTGACGTCAGCCAGGAAGTTCCTGTGGATTCGCTGTCTGTCCTTTCTCCTCGATGAATGGCGATCGGCGGGATTCGAGGCTGATATTACACACTAAGCAACACCAAGTAAGTTTAGAGTCCAACTCTATAACTGTACGTCTTCGCCGCTCAGTGGGGCGTTGTCCGTGGCCGCTCAGTGGGGCTAAAATTCGCCATCTAAGTGGGGCGATGTACAAAGCCGCTCAGTGGGGTTTTTTGTACAGAAGCATTAAGTCGCAGAGTTGCGCAGTTCGAACTTTTTTTTGTTCGCCGTCTTAGTGGGGCGAAATACAGACCGCTGTGTGGGGTACTGTAGTGAGTTCTCCACCGCTCAGTGGGGTGTTGAGAAGTTCCGCAGGGTCCAGATTGTGCTGGACAGTAGGCCTATTTTGTGTTGTTGTCATTGTTGTCATCGTTGTTGTTGTTGTTGTTGTGTGAGTGTGTGCGTTGCAGAACATGTGGTCTGTGACACCGACTGTTGTTGTTATCATTGGTTTTCTAAGCAACCAAGAGTGAGTCGGAGGGAGATAGACGTTTGTGCTGGACTTTGCTCCTGGCAGCACAAAGTATTTATGTAAAAAAGAGAGAGAGCGACGGCTTCACAGCTGCGCGGGTTCACGCGAGCGCGGTCACGCGGACCTGAGCCGTGCGGTTAATCGCAGGCTTATAAATGGAAGAGATTCAAATGTTAGAAGTTTTCAGAAAACACACCAGCCTTGGAGAGCTGTGGAGAAGGCCAGCCCACATCAGCAGCACTTAAGATATGCTCTGGTGAATGGCTTTCCCCCCACCCCTTGCTGACACAATGTTTATTCTTTAGCTTGCCCTGATCGACAGCAGCCTGTGTGCCAGACCATAGATTTAATTGAGGTGGATAGTTGTTAAAAGTAATCTACATTAAGCTTGTGGTTGCTTAAATTCAGTACAATGACATGTGAGGTGAAGTGATATAGATAAATATTTAAACTAATGAAGTGCATAGAGGCACTTGACCTGTGTGAAAGACTGTCGTCTTGTTATGAGCCATTGTTGAGATATGGAGCACACCTGTGAAAACAACTAATATGCTGAACCCTGTATGAAACATCTAAAAGTACATGATGGAGGAGCTGTGTTGAATATGAACAACACAGCTCTGTGGGCAGAGCATGCAACTACTGTGTGATGTTGCGTTGCAGTTTTTTTTCTGAGCTGATGAGCAAGCTACACGTTATCAGATCAAGAGCTGTCTGGGAACTACTCAAAGAGAGGGAAACAGGGAGTGTGCAGCGTTTCCGTGAGCAGTTTTCCTGCATCTTGACTTGTGTGTAGAGTGTTCATAACATCAGCATCATGTTTTTGTTTATTTGTTTTGTTGGGTCGAAAATAATTAAATAAACGTGTGATCATGCTTATGGGTTACCATGGCACATATCACCAGCCACGTGATTTATTTATGCAGATGAAAAAGTGAGTGTGAATGTGTCTGACATCACAGTGTTTTTGTGCACTGTGCAAAAGTAATTGCCTTTGATTGTGAGTGAGAGCGGTGATTCTGCAGGTCACCAGCTATTGTAACGGGGAAAAAAAAAGAGTGAAAAAGAGACAAATTACATTGTAGACGAAGAAAAATAATCATGGGAAAAAGGTTTCGTGTTGATCAGCCGAAAAACAACTACAATGTCATTTTATGCTTTTAAGAAAGGATTGTTCACACAAACACAGACAGAGAGAGAGAGATGTGTGTTGATTAAGCAGCGATGATAATAATGAAATGTCTTAGTTTGTCACTTTCAGGTGAAAAGCAGACCTGAATCAATTTTCCACATTCAGCGGTCGGAAGAAAGTTATAGTTTAACATCATTGGAAACGTGCAGGCCAAGTTTCTGGCTGACTTATTACAGCGCAATGTGTATGTGTCTCTCAACCTCACAAGCAAGTGCTCACTCCTCCCTGAAGACAAGGAATGCAGCTCCAAAGAGCAATAACATGGCAGATAAAGACAGCAGCAAGTCCTGAGCAAAGAGTCCCAGTAAAGCAGCAGCAATGTGGACAAACAGCATCAGAGAAGAAGAGCAAACCCATCATCCTGACTGATCGGATGAATGGCACTGTGTCTACAACAAGCTGAAACTTCACTGTGCATGTGAAGAAAACGTTTGAGGAGAACTGAACAGTTGGAGTTTGACATTTGCCACCTGTGGAGTAAAATGGCAAGAAGAGACAGTGGAACACAGGACAAAGCTGAAGGAGAACTGCCGGGACTGTTGAAGTGGGAGAGGACAAAAGAGTGAGAGGACAGAGTGAGAAGACTAGGTGAGAACACATAGGAATTATTTAATGTGGGAAATCAAAATTTGGGTTAGCAAACCTGGGGGAAAAGAAAACTGACTGCTTAAGTTGGAAAATTGTGAAGGAGTCTGAAACATATACAAACATATACAAAATCACACAGAACATGCCTTAACCCTACTAATACAAACACAAAATAACTCATGAAGATTAGACATTTTAAGCGTGAGTCTGTTTATCATCTTGTCCAAGTCACCTCGTGTGATGCAAAGACCAGTGGAACTCATAGCACAGAACATGCTCTGTTGGAGATGCAGCTCCACAGACATGCTTGTTATCTTTCATCAGTGTTAAAATAGTGTCAATTTAGCAGACACTTGTTATCAAACACTGAATTTATCCAATGCAAAAAATTGACTCTCTAGGTTGCAGGACAACAGTTTAACTTTTGTGGGAAAAAAGATCCTGGTTTGACCAACCAGTGATCAGACAATAAATTTAGTTATTAATATAGTAAATTGGGAGAAGCTTCCTGCTTGATTGATGCAGCACAAGTGATTTACTGTATGAGGGAAATTCTCTTTTAGTGATAACATTTTGAACATGCATTTCTGTTGTCCTGTCATCCTAGTGGGTTAATAGCTGATTCAAATTAGTTGATCGTTCTTAGATTAATGAAAGGTGACTGAATTCTAGTACGAGTGAATGGGATGTGTTGGAGTTTGTTGTGTGTTGAGTGGAGACTCTAAAACACTGAGTTTCCTGTTTTGATGTGCGAGTGAATCCTGTATTTAGATACACAACTCTGAATACGTCAGAACAAACGTCTTTTGTGAAGTGCATGACAGCATGTCACATGTTTTATGATGAAGGGAAAAAGGAAAAATTGAATAAAATAGATCTGTGGCTTAAATGAGTGAAGAGCACAGACCGGGTGATTAAACTCA